GGAGCCGCGTAGCTATGCCACACAATTTTTTATAGCTCCCAGCTTGCCTCTGGTGCCAGTCTAAGAAGCACCGATCCGACCGACTGTTCCAGGGTTATCTTCTCGACGGCGACTGGAGTGAAACGATTCACTAGGTAGGAAGCAGCTGAGTCCTTGGACAAACATCCCTGAGACCCTGACCGTCACCACTAGCTTGGAGGAGTGGCTATGCAAGATCAGCAAGACAGAGGACAACGTGCATTGGTACTCTTTCCGCTGTCTCCAAGGTATTTAACCCCTCTGTCCTCCACATGGCATCTAAGCTGATAAAAACAATGGAGGTTCCTAATCTGATTGAATGTGGCATCCAGTGCTATTGACTGTCCTGCGCCAAGCACACGGCTCAATTACATACCAAACGCATTACCTGGCTACAAGCATGTCATCGGTCCATATCAACTTATTGGCGTGTCTTTGTTGTAAAAAAAACTACTGGTGGCTCGAAATCCTCCAACTGCATCAGGATTAATCAAACTCCTTTAATCTCATGTCTTGACGTAACAATTGTATTATTGTTCATAAAAAGGGTAGCTGGGAATTTAAACTTTTAAATTGCTCTGGCTTTATGGAGTGCAGCCTAGAGCCTATAGTGGCGCCTCTTTGAATCTGCTAACAACTGGAAAACTATCTTGTAACTCTCCACTTCTCCAGTCCAGGTTCTGACATGTTTCATGTGCCTCCCAAAAGATAGGAACGGCCCTTCTCCAGTGCATGTTTAAGGGCATCTGGACTCTATTGTGTCATCAACTGCATGCCTTCACGCATTCCCCTCCCACGATCATCCATGCTGCACGTCTGAAAGGCCATGTCTGAAGGAACCACCAATTCTGATAGCATGCTCACCTGCAATTTGTTGAGAAGGATTACAGTATGTCAGACATTTGCTGCAACAATATGCTTTGACTTAAGTCATTCAAGCACAAATATCATGATTTTTTCATTGAGGAACCACACAAGTGCACAAAAAGATACTACATTACTCCAATGGGGTTGATATCCTGATGTGCAACCAGGTGAAGCTTATATATTGAATCAGTCTATGGAAGTTTTTGGAAAATGAATTGGTAACCCAAGAACTTGACTTTAGCAAGGACAATACAATGTCTGAAGAAGTTTCAACTAAACACTTCTTTGTGTGTATGTGTGCATGTTCAGGATACTAGTCAACAGTCCATAACTTCCCATGGTGTTCTAATCTGTCTTCAATATTTCTAATTTCCAGATTGTGGTAGGAATAAGACATTGCCACTGAACTGCTCAATTGATATTGAGTGAAAATCTAGAAGATTGACGACCATAATCCTTTAGTTCAGTCAAATACATAGCCAGAAAAAAATATAGGTGGTGATGGCTCGGTGTAATCTTCAGTATATCGTGTGGACAGAGTTAATTGCATGATGTTTTTTCCTGAAAAATAATGGGACAAAGAAAATCATTGCCTTCAATCAGTTTGATTATCAAATGCGATTGTAAACTGTAATTTCCAGATCACTGCATTGCCACCTTGCCGGAATGGTTGGTGCCTTGGTCAGTCATAATCACCGCATCAGGTCAACAAGCAATTCAGTTCATGCCATGAAACTGCAACAGACAAAAAGAAATAACACAAATACACATCACTTTAGTTGCAAATCTTGTTACCACTTATCAGTGGAAGGGCTATAAATAAGGTCCTCTGAATGTACAAGCGTGGAGAATTGCTCCTGTTACAAGCACAATAAAAAAATTCATTGCTAATTAAAGACTTTAATTCTTATAAACACGAAGGACCCAGATATTTCACAAGAGAACATGCAGATAACATAATTTGACCAGACTCGTACCATTGCTAAACAGTGTATAAATTTATTCCCAAATTTCAGAAGGAAAGTTGAAAGCAGGGCTATTAAATCACAATTAGCATAATACTATGGACATGATTGAGTTCAATGAACATGTTGGCATATTTCATTGAAACTATCATAGATCAACAAATTGGAAACAGTGTCCTGGTATATTTCAACCAACACGTTCGGCCTTATCTATTGCCACCATGACGGCAAATTATAAGAGAGCTATGAAGAAGTCGCCTATTCGGAAAGAAGTGTGGAACAAACCTCCAGAAGGTAAACTACTGATCAATGTTGATGCAAGTTTTAGACCAGAGAATGGAAGTGGAAGCACCGGTGCTGTAATCAGATATTCTAGTGGCTCATTCATAGCAGCTTCGCGCTCTTATTTTGAGCATGTGGTTGATGCTCCATCGGCTGAGGTAATGGCAGTAAAGGATGGTTTGCTATTGGCACAGCACATCGGGTGCAACGGAATTATAATCCAATCAGATTGTTTGGAAGTGGTTGAAACAATGCTGAAAGCATCTAGGCCCCTAGTTGGGTTTCGATGATTAATGACAATACGATATTACTATGACTAACGTGTGTTTTGCAGAAGCAATTAAGTTAGGTCATGGTAATGGCAATTGATTGGGCAATCATGGTTGTCATGCCCCTACGATGGAAATCGTTTCGGTTTTCAAAGGATGGACGACAAGGTTAAGGATAGACTAGTTCTAAGTGTCGTCTGGTGTTGAAGAGACACTTAGAGTATTTTAGGACTTTGTTTTTCCTTTGACCGTACTATTAAGGGGGGTATGGACTAGTGGCTTGACCTAGGTGAGTCTAGTGGATTAGGTGTGGTGCACACTTGTCAAATCTAGCACTAGGTAGCTCAGGAGTGGCCCTAAGATCAATTGGAGCAAACTTCATTCATATATGATTTCGAGTTGAAAGTGAATGGAGGGTCAAATGACTGACCGGATCTTTGGTGCAGTTGTGACGAACGCAATGAAGGTGAGTCCGTCGTCATTTGATCAACTGGAGCCGTCTGCATTCTTGTTGAACAGCTGAGTGAAAAGTGACCGGACGCTGGGTGTCAGAGTCCGGTCAACTCCAGAGAGGTTCCAGAGAGGGAAATTCATGATCGGACGCGTCCGGTCAGTGCTGACCGGACGCAGGTCAGAGTCCGGTCAAAACTTAACGGCTCTGTGGCAGGGATAACTGAACGGAGCGTCCGATCACCCCGCAGTGTGCTGACTCAACCTCCTAACGGTTCGTTTTGAATGAGGGGGTATAAATACTTCCTCTATTCATACAAGGGAAGTCTCTTGCCCATTTGTTCAGCTGAGAAACACCCTTGAGAGTGCTAAGGAGAGCAAGAGTCTAGTGAGATGATTGAGATTTGAGAATCCAAGATTAAGGCCTTATTAGTGCAAGGAGAGTAGCAAATGTGCATCCACCCTTCTCATTAGGCTTGTTCTGGTCAAGTGAGAGTTCGTACTTGTTACTCTTGGTGATCGCCATCACCTAGACGACTTGGTGGTGATCGGAAGTTTGGTGATCATCCGGTGGAGCTTGTGGATGACCCAACTCAAGTTGTTAGCGGTTGTGGACGATTCACCGCGACGGAGTGTCGAAGAATCAGCCCGTAGAGAGCACTTGATTCTTGCGCGGATCAAGAGGGAGTTACACCCTTGCGCGGGTGCTCCAACGAGGACCAGTGGGGAGTGGCGACTCTCCGATACCTCGGCAAAACATCGCCGCGTTCCTTCTCCTCTCTTTACTTTACAAATTTACATTTGAGCAATTCAATTCTTGTCTTTACATTCTTAGAATTGCCATGCTAGAGTAAGATTGGAACCTAGGGTGCAAAACTTTTGTGCGGTAGAACAATAGGAACACATTCTAGGCACAATGGGTGAAGTAGGCTAAGTGTAGGGTTTAATTATTGCAAAGAATTTTAGAATTAGCCCAATTCACCCCCCCCCCCTCTTGGGCATCTTGATCCTTTCAAATGCAACAAAGGGATTTTTCGGCGGCAGCTGGGCCACCTATATACGACGAATGTAATCATCTTTGGCAGGAGTTTCAGTCCATCTCTATTGAACATTGTGACCAGGAATCAAACCAGGCGGCGCATGTACTAGCTAGGGAAGCTATTTCTTTGAAACTCTCTGGTATTTGGGTCGATGACCCCCCTAGTTTCATTTTAGAGAGTCTGATAAATGATGTAACCATGTTTGCAAATCAATAAAGTGTGCCACATGGCATTCCCTCAAAAAAAAAACTTACATATAACAGAATAGCTATCAGCTCACAAGCAGCACAGATTTCCTCTCAATCCAGGTAGAGCATACTGTGGTTTACATATATAACTACATAAGCATGACCTTTTCCCCTCCGGTTGAAGAAAATTTAGTGTCCCTCCATGTGAAGTGAATGCAAATTTCATCCAAAACATAGGCTTGTCTAAGCTGATTCCATAACCCTTGAATAGTATCACAAGCATGGTAATCAGCAGTGGATTTAGCTGTAGTATCACAAGCATGGTAATCAGCAGTGGATTTAGCTGTAGTATCACAAGCATGGTAAGTATACTTACACACTGATCAATCACATGTACTGCCGCATGCAAACCAATATATCGTGGGCTCCTAGATAAGTACATGTACATGTATATGGATACATATGTACATACAAGCGCACACATATATATGCATGTAGCCTAGTCAACAACAGATTAGCGACTTAAAAGATTACCTGGACAGGCAAACTCCTTCAGGAAACACCGGACTGAACAAATTTCACAATTGGGTGAACACCCACACGACAGATGTCGAGGGCGCAACTGATTCCAGCAGCGACACAATTCAGGAACGAACATGAGAGACTACAGTCCTGCCCGTATTCAAAGGATCACATCCCCTCCACGGGCATTATAGCAGCATATAAAACATGGCCCATTCCAATCATTATCACCACTGGCCCATTGGAAAAGGAGGGCACGGCGAGGCTGCGCCAACTTTTCTAGTAATTTTTAATGAAATGTACAAGATTTTATCCATTCATTAGAAGAAAGAAGCTTGCATTTCAAAAAATTAATAAGTAGTAGTCTTACCTGGCATCTGAACTTCTGAAGCAACAACATCAACATCCAAAATTACTAGCACCTGCTGATTTTCTCACTCCTTTTCTTTCCATGTTCTGCCTCACTTCGTCACTGTGGTTCCAGTGACCTCCAGCCGCATACAAGTTGGAAAGCAAGATGTATCCACCTTCTTCTGCTGGGTCAAGACGAAGGAGTTCTTTTGAAGCGATTTCTGCAACTTCAGTATTTTGACCAGCCAAACTCGCATTTAAAATGGAACCCCATATAGATCGACTTGGCCTCATCGGCATCCTCCTAGCCAAAGCTAATGCATCAATCAGCTTACCTGACCGTGCAAGGAGATCAACCATACACCCAAAATGTTCTATCACTGGTTCAATACTGTATCTTTGCTTCATAGCATCAAAAATCTTACACCCTTCGTCCAGCAGGCCAGCATGACTGCATGCACTGAGAACAGCAAGCAATGTGACACCATTAGGTGCTACGACCTCAGCTTGCATCTTCCAAAATAGCTCCAATGCTTCAGTTCCATGGCCATTGAATGCAAGGCCAGAGATCATGGCTGTCCACAAGGTAACATCTTTGTCGAAGGCTTTCTCGAACACGTAATAAGCTACTTTAACATTTCCACATTTGCAACACATGTCTACAAGGGCTGATGCCAAAAAAGCATCCTGATGACCAAATTCTTTCACCACCCAACCGTGGATACTCTTTGCATGATTCAATGATCCCTTACCTGCTGCCGCAGAGATCAAGGTAACAGCAGTCACCTTATCCGGATTTACACAACTGGCAAGCATATCATGGAATAGTTTCATCACTTCATTGAAACCTTTGTATCTAGCATATCCAGCGAGAAGCGCATTCCAGGAAATTAGATCCTTGGAAGGTGCCTCAGAAAAAAATCTGCTAGCGAGGTCCAACATGCCAGCATTTGCAAAACCTGAAACCATAGTGTTCCATGAAATGCCATCCTTCTCACTAGCTTCACCAAAGACTCTTTTTGCTGAGTTCATTCTTCCACATTTTGCATACATATCCAAAAGGGCATTTACCAGAATCAACCCACGATCTCCTGCATCCATTCTCCGCACGATGACGCCATGAACAGACCTCCCAAGAAGCACGGTCTTCAGGCGCCCACAGCAAGTGAGCAGAGCAACAGCTGTATACTGATCAACAACAATCCCCCTGGATGCCATATCACGGAAAAAGCACAGCGCCTTCAGGCTGCACCCTTCATTCACATACCCGGATAGCATGATATTGCAAGACACGGAATCCAACACCAGCACAGAACGGAACATCAGCTCGGCCGTCTCCACATCCCCGGCGTCGATGTACATCTTGATCAGCGAGTTCCGCAGGTACACGCGCGACTGCAAACCACTCACGACGACATGGGCGTGCACCTGCCTCCCCGCGGACAGGCGTTCCACCGACCTCAGCAGCGCGAGGAAGGTCTGTTCGTCGGGGAGGACGGACGACGCGAGCATGGAACGGTAGAGAGCCGCCGCCTGGGGCGGCGAGGAGGAGTCGCGGGCCGCCGCCGCCGCGGAGAGCATGAGGTTATAGATGTAGAGATTGGGGCGGGGCGTGAAATGGTGGAAGAGGAGCTCAGCCTCGCGCGTGAGGCGCGGGGAGGACACGGCGGTGGCGAAGTGGAGGAGCCGGCTCATAGGGAACGTCTCCAAGGCGAGGCCGAGGCGGAGCAGGTGGGCGAGGATGGCCCGGAACGGCCGCGCCCCGCGGCACCGCTCGAGGAGCACCAACGCAGGGTGGCCAAGCCGCAACGAGACGGTTGGGTCCCACGTGCACCCCGCGGCGGCAGAGGCCGCCATCGCGAGAGATGGGGCGTGTGGCCGTGTGCTCAGGAGAGGGGTCAGGGGGGTCGATACCAACCAGACTACTGGGAAATTTCGCTATCCAGCCGCCGGCGCTCCCGCGGCGGCCGAGTCTGAGACGGCGTCGGCTCTGACGACGACGAGGCATCGTGTAGCAGGCTGCAGCACCCAATCTGTCATGGGCCCAGCCAGCACGATGAACCCTTCAAGGAGCCTAGTAATTTTAAGCCCAGATTTTTCATTGATCCAATTGAGGCCCAATTTAGTTCTGGGCCAGAGACAGTTCATGTTGTCATTGAAAAAATTCAGTTCAATGGGAAACAAGAAGAATATACATATACATGAGCGCTCCTTCAATTTTCTACTTCTCCTATATTTATTTTTTCTAGATCACGCAAAAGGTTTATACGTCTTTATATTAAGATAGAGAAAAAAATTAATACAACACGCCTTAACGATGCTCAGGTGGTCACAAGAGATGTACATGGACTTCTATATTTTTTAGGTGCCTGAATTTTAAAATAATTTCAGGCAACACTCTTATACCACCGATTAACACAAGTAAATTATAATTTTTATGATCTGATATTTGTCTTTGTGTCATAACATATTAATTTTTTGTCTTCGTCTGCCTATAGAAAATAATTATAAATTTTAATTGTCTTTGTGCCAACACAAATCAGATTTTGTCGGGGTTGTGGTTTGTCTAACGGTTTTTTTATTCTCGGTACCTAAAATTGCAGATTGTGCCTACAAAAATTGCAATAAATGAAATCTATAATTTTAGTATAAAATATATGCAATAACCATCGTCTGAAAGGACACTAAAATTCAGGCACCTGAATTTTAGCAAGTACCTAAATTTTCATGGATTCATAAACTTTGAATTGTGCATGGATTTCTATAAACTTGTTAAACATGTCATATTGGCTAAAAGTTGAAATAGAAAATACTGTAGTTATTATTGTCTAGATGAACGAAGGTGCTTGTACTCCCAAGTCCTCAACCCACCAGCAGTCAAACCCAAGTTCAATAAAGATCTATATATTACAAGTTTTTTTATGGGTTCACAATTTTGTGTGTGCGTGAACATTGTGACTACAATGGGCTTTGTAAAGAAAAATAAATGATATTTCAGCACTTCGAACCTACGTGCTACATTTACCGAGTTAGGCCTGGTTTGAAATACCGGATTTTTTTTCATGTTCCTACGTATTCCCTGTAAAAATCAATTTGATTTTGTGAAACTCCTGCGCGATTCATGTGAAATTCCTGTGTTTGACTCTGTGGGAGTGAATATTTCAGGATTTAACAGCGTTATGCTTTCAATGGTACGCAACGTTTCCGTCAACGACGAGACGTCTGTGATGACTTCTTCAATCTCGAGGATTTGCCGACCCAGTATTCGAACATGCTCATAGGGAAAGGATTTTGCGTGCATTCGTTCATAAGGGTTTGCGTGCATGCGTGCGTTAATAGGGATGAGTGCGTTATGAGTTGTACTCCCTCCATACTAAAAAAAATGAAGTCGTTTTGGACAGTGACATGGTCTCTAAAACATAACTTTGACTATTTATTTTTATAAAGATATTTATCAAAAATTGATATATGTAATTTTTTGTGAAAGTATTTTTTAAGACAAATCTATATATATGGTTTTCATATTTTCAAACTCAACAACTTAGAAGTTATTCATGATTTATATTCCCAATGTTTGATCCGAGTCTTGTCCAAAACGACTTCATTTTTTAGTATGGTCGTGTAATGGTAAGAAAAACTCGATCTACAAATCTGTGTTTATTATGGATATGAATATGGAAGGAAGGGTTGAAAGTAGGTTATATTTAAGGGATGTTTAGGATTGCTCTGCTCCATGTTTTTTAGCCAAATAGTTTCAGTTCCACGCACTCTGTTCGAAGGAAAAAGATAGAGTTGTGAGAGCACCTAAAAAAATGCTCTACAAACTTTAGTTTTTTATGTAGCTACTCTACGGTGGAGTTTGTAGAATAAAGTTTGTGCTAGTCCAAACACCCACTTTTTCCTTGTTTTCACACTTTTTGTGGAGCATTTGAAAAAACGAGCAAAAAAAAAACTAAAAAACAGAGTCTGAAAAATTGGTCCAGCCTGGGTCAAAACTGACTGCAGGTCAAAAAAAAAAGAAAAAAGAAAAAACGGAGTATAAGAGACAACTGCCGGCGGGAAAAAGGCACAAAAAAAACCGAAACGGAAGAAATAAGCAAAAATTCTATGGATACTGTATCCACCGGGACTCAGTGGATACACACGTTAATCTGCTGCCACGTGTACAACATATAACATACGGTGCGTCCAGCCTCCAGGCGCTCTCACGCGCTCAGCTGCAGCCTGCGGCCTCTCGTCTGTGCTCAGCGGGTGGCGGGCGTCGGATGTTGCGGGCTGTCAATCGAGCATTGTTCGCTTGTGTGGTTCATATCGTTGTTGATTTGTTTATGTAAGAGAAAAGTATTGCTGGCTAGTTCGTGTGAATAGTAGTCATGTGAGGGGGCTGCCCAGCCAGTCCCAGTCCAGCGATCAGGCTGCATGTGTACGCATAGATGGCGTGTGCATCCGGTATGCACATAACTTTTTTTCAAAAAAAGAGACCGACAAATCGGAACGGACTCAGATTAAACGGGCCAAGAAAATTACGGAAGAAGAACTTTTTCCTTTTTAATACGTGCTATATAAGGTATATATATAGATAGACATATATAATCCTAAATAAAATTGCTGGATATTTTTTTTATCATATCAAGTCCCAAACCCAATCTTCCTACGACGACTCCCGTCCCTTCGACTCAAGATCCAGGCTGCTGGCCGCTTTCCTCTTTCCTGCCTGCCATGCAGGAACCCGCCGTCGCCACCACCACCGTCGCCACGTCCCTGCTCTCAGGCGGCATCCCGGACTGGGGTCTTCTTGACACTAGAGCGCGCATCGGGCACTGCAACAACGCGACCACCGCCGAAGCAAAGACGAGCGACCTATGCCCCATCAAGGTCTCCTTCGAGGTCGTCGATCCGCCCGGTCTCTCACGTTGCATCGTCCAGTGCCCCGACCTGAACACCGATTCGAGTGTTCGGCCCATGGTCATCGGCGCGGATGGTGCCTTCGTCCTCATACGCGTGTGCTTCCCCGTGCGTGATAAACGGATGTTCCCCGACGTCTTCGTCTACAGGGCCGATCCCAGGGCACCGACGCTCCATCTCGTCCCGCGCCCCTTTCCACTACTCCTTCACTTCAAAACCGCCGTCGGCGTCTTGGCCTTGGCTTCCGGCGACACCGTCAACCAGTATTGTTCCGTCGTCATCCCCGAGCGGGCTCATGGTCGCTGTGGGATGAGTTATTCTCTCGAAGTCTTATGTACCAAGACAATGTCATGGAGCACTAAGTGTTAGATTGATCTCCACCCGACTCGGTCCAACGATCGAGTCGGACCCTGACTCACGCCCTGATCGAGGGCACCCAGCCGTTCTCCTGGCTGGTGGGCCCCCGTCGCGCAACGCTATGAATAGGAGGTGGGGGCTGGGGCTCGAGACACGAGGTTCACCATGGCCGCTAGTTCCCGCCGACATCATAACCCTAGTCCGATCGAGAGGCGTGCTGTGAGCGACGAAAAGCTCCACCGCTTTCGTCGCCGCCACTACGCCTTCGACACCATCATCGGACTCCACTGCTACCTTACATCAACACCCGCGTCATCAACACCTACGTCATGGCTTCCTCCTCCGATCAAGCCCACCGATGGTCTACCTCTCTACACCCCTCTCCCTCCCTCTAGTTCTCTCTCTAGGATGAACTACTTGTTTATCCTGAATAGAAGAGAAAAACCCCACTGATCTACGCCTAGATGATCCGAGAATCTATCAATGATATCAAAGCGGTTTCTCCTAGTGTGTAGATCGAGTCTGGGGTAGAAAAGTGAAAAGAAATTAGAAGGAGATGAAAGATTTCCAAGTTTTTCCAAACCCTAACCCTAGATCACAAGAACAGAGAGGAGGTTCTTTCCCCGCTATCGCGACCGTCGTCGCGCGAGAAGAAAGGGCCGACCGAGCCGCCTACTCGTCGACACTCCGCCGCGTCGTGTGCATAGGCACGCGGGCTCTAGGCGCCGACGCGAGGCCACTCGACGGCGGCGCGCTCTACCAATCGGGGGCACGCGCTCCACCGAGGGGCCCCGTGGTGGCGCCGTATCTTGCTCTGGCTACCACGCGCGGGCGTCGCTCCGTCATCTTCGGGCGCCACCAGTGAGAGAGGGTCGAGGGAGAGAAAGAGGAATGAGGCTAGGTTTGGAGGAGGCCGGCCGGGAGAGGGGTGTTTTTTGTTCTCCCGATCGGTGCGCACAACCGTTGGATCGTGATCGGTGGCCGGCAGAGCTCGGGCCGCCTTTAGGCCCAGGCGGGAAGGAGAATTCCCGACCCAGGCCCAGGTTGCAGCCTAAGCGCAGGGGAGCGTGCGCGCACGCCACATGAAGCAGGCCGCTGGGCCACCGTGTTTCGCTGGGCCGCGCACTGCTATTACGGAATGGGCCACGGACCGTGTTCCCCGAGCCGGGCCAAATGAACAGTAAACACTGATTTTAAGTTTTATCCTTTTCAGAAGCATATTTTGATGAATTTGTTTTGAAGTTTCATCTCTACTCAAATTTGAACCAATGAAATAATTTATTTAGAGAGTAGATAAGTACATAGTGATGCTTCTGAATAAGCATTATTTTAAGAATTTTTTCACATTTTCGCTACAAAGAAGGTGATGATTATCTTCTAATTAAATTCAAACCAACGGAAGGATTTAATTTGAAGAGCAGTTATATTTATTCAGTAAATTATGATTATGTTTATCCTCTAATTAAATTAGAATCAACGAGAAAATTTAAATTGGAGGAGTAGTCCAATTTGTTTTAAGTTAAATTATGATATTGTTATTTTCTGACCAATGTCGATGATAATAATATTGTAAGTTGATTAATGAGTTTTTTCAT